TTGGAGCAAAAGCGTTTGCAATAACAAAAAATTCATACTAATGTTTAAGCCCATCAGTTCCTTGGTCATCTAAGTCCACCTTACAGAACAGCGCAGATGACACGGCCTTTACATCAGAAAAGATGATGAAACCACAAATTGTCTTTCCTTAAGTGTAAGTTCTTCACAGACTGATGTGCACCCCTCTGAAACGTAACCATATGTTGGATTGACACAGACTGTAACGTCTGCATCTGATCCTCTTGGTACATGTAATGAAAAGACATATAACTCCTGGAACATAAACACAAAATGCAACAGGCCGTAATTGTGTCCAGTTTGCTCAGAATGGGAACCAGTTTTCTTCCAGCATTTTATTCTATTTGATTTTTTTTCTCTGCCTTTTGCTGCAGTTTTAAAGTGTTTCCTAACGTTATTCTGTTTTGGCATCTTACTTCTTTTCTGTTGCTGTTGCGTCAGTAAAAGTTGTTCGCAGTTCACCAGCTTACTGTGGACCCACAGAAGCAGCAGAAAGGCTGCCCCAACTGACATGTGAACTGCAGACTGCAGAGCTGTTGCACAAACACAGACAAGAGAACATCCCTTTTTAGTTGACTCCAGTGCAAATGTTTGTAATTTTATAAGGAAGTTTTTTGTATTATATAAATAATACTTGTGGCCATTTTAGCCACAAACGTTTAAGTATGCATTTTATGGCGTACTAATATGCAGTATCTTACAGCTACTAAAGCCCCCATTTTTCTATTTTGACATTTTTAACTGATTGTTATTATTTCTCAGGCAAATGTAGACATTAACTCTCAGAGCTGCTTTTAGATCAATTTGTCATCTTTATGAGCGAAGACTGAGCAACTGTTCCACCCTTACTAACAAACGCTCCCTGTTATAATTACTGCAATAAATGTCAAGCAGCACTGATTGCTTGATGATTTGTAAAATAAGTGTTGGTTTTATTACTGACGATCCGACTCATGCACCGACACGTTTCACACAAAGTTCAGCCAGAACCAGCATTAAGTTTGTTTATCTGAGTCTCTGTGCTGGAAAGTGCGCTGTGGAGGCTTGACAGGGTGACTACATCTCAGCAGGGCTCAGTGTCTGTGGGAGAAAGGAACTATCCTGAGGTGCGGAGTGGGGAGGGGGGGCGCCATAAATCTGAGCAGCACCTGCTCCCTCGACTCTGGCTCGTGGTGTGAGGTCAGCAGCACCAGATATCCCATTGATCATATTTATGTTGCTTATCACAGCACCCATTTGTTTTAGCAGCTGATGGCACAAAAGGAAGAAAAGGAAAGATGAGGCATTTTATTTGACAGAATACAGCATTTTTAGCAAAAGATGTTTTTTTCTGCTCAAGATATTTAAAAAGAGGCCTATGAGGGCTGAATATGGTGCAGATAAAAACTCGTAAGACAACAATTCATAGCGCTAATGACAAAAAAGACAAAAGCTATATATATATATATATTTTTTTTTTTCAGTTTTCAAAACACCAGAGGTATGACATTTGTGGCACCTCAGAGTTCCTCAAATATTCATTATTTTGAGTTGTTTTCACATTTATGTTTTTACCAGTATTTTTATTCACTTGATCAAGATTGCTTAGTTAACCAGTGACACCACAGAGACTGTGCTTGACAGAAACAGAGTGGGCATGGCCTTCTGTCAGACACCCATAAGTACTCAGTAGTGTTTTTCTTTGGTGACTTTAATTCATTCACATACTAATAAAGTATCTAGTATCTAGTACTTCAGTGTCTACCTACATCACCTAATGAAGCGCGTAGCATTTCATAGTGTAAGCAATGCCATTACCTGGAGCCTCAAAAACCTGAGCCAGGACTTAGCAAATCTCTGGAGAACTTCCTTCATATTGCAGGGGACTGCAACTGACGGGAATGTGTTTTGCAATTTGGGATAAAAACCTCAAAGGTTGTTTTTAGTTTCATACAATATGCTTACATTTGTAATGTGATATGTGCATGATGTATGGTATGACTTTGTGATATAAATCCCATGTGCTATTTCTGTGAGAAAAAATCGAAGAAAAATTTGTGCGCTTGTATCTTGTGCTTTTTTTTTGTCAGAGACTCCTTAAATACACCACTGGACCACAAACTGAAATATATTCTAATTGCAGTTCACAAGAAGGTTAGGTAAAGAAATAAATCATATAAAGATTTTTTTACAATATGCTAACAAATTTCATATACATTTTAGTTGTAATCTATGATATTAGCATTATTCTAAGACTGAATGGAAAGGCATACATTTGGTTCTGATTACGACCTTCTTTTTCTCAGTATCACATCTTCAGTTCTGCTGTCATGCCATTGGCCGAGGCCCAACAGTATCAGAAACAAAATAAACTCCTGGCTCAGTCAGTCTCAGCGCTTCAACCCTGAGACCGACTGTCACTCTCCAAACCTCTTGAGTCCTAAAACCAATTAAGCCAAATAAGCATGAAACACAGCACTGTGTGTGTCCTTTACATTTCAACAAGCCAATCATAATGAAAAATGTTGTTTCCATGTAATATGAGTGCACTCATGCATTAAGACAAAGTGAATGCTGTAGAAGTGAAGTGCATTCCTGTCCTCATATTTCCAGTTACTTGTTGCAATTATAACATGCTTCGTACTTTCCCATATGGCACATCATTTCCTAAAGTGATAGTTTGAACATGATCAACTAATGAACCCTCCTTTAACAGCCGAACGTTGGCGCTAACCTCCTGAATGTCTGCTGGTGCAAATAATTCAACATCTGACTGTATTTTGATGTCAGTGCCAGGGTGTTACGTGAGAGGAGGGTTATTTTAATCAGCCTCCACAGGCCATGTCGGGGCTGACGCTAAACAGATGCTAATGTGAGGCCCATTAAAAGACACTGGGAAAGAGGGATTCGGTGTGTGCAGGCAAGCGGAAAAGCAACAGTCTGTTTATTGCCTTATCCTGCTTTGTGCACCAAACTTTGCTGAAGTTTCCTGCAAGGCAACAAAGCTTCTTTTTTCCTCTCGCTCTACCTTTTTTTTTTTTTGCATCAGCATCTTGCATGGGGGGCATTCCCTGAAGAGAAACAGATTTGTTGAATTCAGTATCACATTTGATGTCTGAAAAGAGAGCAGAGAAGTAATAGGGAGAAGAACGTTCTCACATTTCTCTTTTTATACTTTTAGTTTTGCATCTAATGTGCTTTGTGTCGCCTGCTTCTACTCTCTGGCAAACTATCAATATAATGGTGACAAAACCATTTTAATACAGTTCTAAATTTAAAGGGCTCTTGTTTTGTGTCTTTTTTTTTTTTTTTTTTGGATGAAGTCTGGACATACAGCTGAAGGACCAGCCTAATTGTCTGGAGTGGACAAGCACTGTCAAATGCCGTGACAGTTTCTGAGATTTCTGTCATAGGTGTTCCAAAAATATGACAAAACTGCCCTGTTTACTCACTGAAATGTGTCAAAGTCTAACTGTGGCAGGTTATCTTAACTTTTCTGGTGTTTATTCAGTCAAACTCACAGTGTTTTTGTCAGTTGTTAAGTTCAGGATTGATATCTGAGTGCTGCTGATGTGTGTGTTTATTGATCATAACCTCATGATTATGAAAAAAATGTTTTTAGAGCTAGATTCCAGCCAGTTGAGCTCAGACATAGAAGATTGTCGGTGACAGCTTTTAGCTTTTTGTAGTTTGAACTCCCAGAGTTACAGTTCTTCAACAACAACTACAATCCTTTTCTGCTCAGTTTTTGCAGACACTGAAAAATCAATTTGATTACTTTTTTTTAAATCTGAGGTAAACACTCCTCTCTTCACATTTTATTATTTTGTCTCCAGATTCCTGTTTCCAATTTTCATTTAACCTGAATAGTTTTCTGAATGCCACTTTTTGTAGCCAATATATTGCTAAAGTAATTTTCATTTATGGGGTGGCATGAGGGCCAAAATTAAAACTATTGTGCAACCAGTGGTTGCTATTTCCTTGTAGCAGAAGGCTATATCTATTCTCCAATGCTAACACCAACTTATCCATGCTAGTCGCTAGCCTCTCCAATGGATTGTCTTCTTCTCATTTGCCAGCGCTGGCCTTTCAGTTACCAGCTGCCCAGTTGCCGGTGCCGGTCTATCGTTAATCAGATCAATAGCTTAGCAATAGCCTCCTGCTCAGTGGCAGATCTAGGATATTTCTGTGCAAGGGGCCATCAGGGGGCCACAATATTCATAGAGGGGCCAAATATCTGTTCAACATCCTTGCACACAAATCCCTCGTTTTAGTAAGGTGTATGCCTTTAACCAGTCACACATGTTTATACACNTTTTCTGGTTCAAAAGTGTCGGTTTTGAACCAGAAAAAAGGCTTGAACTACTTCAGTTGGTATGCAATGAATCTAAAATATATGAAAGTTTAATGTCTATCAGTACATATTACAGAAAATAATGAACTTTATCACAATATGCTAATTTTTTGAGGACCTGTAATAGTGATTTGAAGAAAATATTGAAAATAAAATGTTTAAGAAAAAAGGAATAAAAATAAAAATAAACTATAAGAATTTGAATAAATAAAAGGTAACAAAACAAAAACATGACATCAGGATTGTCGTTATACGCATTACCTTGTCTGAGAAACTGTTTAGAGAAGCCTAATAAATCCATACTTAGGAAAATGAATCCACAATATGTTCCACCCCATTCAGGAAAGGTTTTTCATTATTKTTTATACTGTTATGGAAATATTTATTTAACAAAGACAGAAATACGTGGTCCAAGAATGAAGGCACTCTTTGGAATGATCAGCTGAGTTTTATGTGCACCGACAGGAACACAGAGAACAACATAAAGCCATCTGTCCCCCTGCTCTCTATTATTTTTTATTTCTCCATGAAGGGAAATTACAGAACTTTGTGTCTGAGATGAAAACGTGAAAAGGTTGTCAGTAAATGTCACTAAACTGAATCAAACGCATGAACATTTTTAACAACCTGTCAACAAAGACACTCTAAATTAATTTGAATATTTATTTAACATGAAAAAAATACAAAGAAACTTTTTCACGATCCAAACATTTCATGAATGCACAACAATGTTAYTTTTTAAACTTTTACTACCCATTTCCTTCAAACTTTAGAACAATTGAACACATTTACACATGTAACATGACTTTATATTGATAGTTGCGCTTTGTCTTTACTAATAATATAATTTCGGTATTCATGTATATTATTATTAGGGTTAAAAATGTCCACCATTTGTCAAAGGATAACTTAAACTCTGGCTAAAATGAACTAAAATATTGCTGTAGTTCATTAAAATGCAAAAACAGCGCTGATGTCTTACTGTTAAGCAGTGAGAATGAACTGGTGAGTGAACATTTTGAACACAGTCTAAGTGAATGAGTTCCCCTTCTGACTGACAGTTAATGGAGTTTGAAGTGAAGTGGAACCACACTAGTGGAAGAAAAGGGCAAGGTTGTAAATAGAAACTGACATTTCTTCCGTTGTGGCTATACCTATGAATTATTGCAAATGACTGCTTTATTTCTTGTGTGTATTATCATGTGTGTGTTTAAACTGTGCTTTGTGGTAAATCTCCGGCCACACAAATCACAACAAAATGGCTTCTGTCCTGTGTGGATTCTCATGTGTTTGTTTAAATTTCCCTTTTGGCTAAACCTTCGATCACACACATCGCAACAAAATGGTTTATGCCCCGTGTGGGTACTCATGTGTTTGTTTAAACTGCACCTCACTGAAAAACTTCGTTCACACAGATGACAAGTGTATGGCTTCTTTCCAGTGTGGGTTCTCATGTGTGTGTTTAAATTGCCCTTTTCCGTAAACTTTTGTTTACACAGATCACAACAAAATGGCTTCTGTCCCGTGTGAATTCTCATGTGTCTGTTTAAACTGCCCTTTTCTGTAAACCTTTGTTCACACACATTACAAGAAAATGGCTTTTGTCCAGTGTGGATTTTCCTGTGTTTGTTTAAAGCTCCTTTTAAGGTGAACGTTCTTTCACACAGATCACAAGAAAATGGTTTCTGTCCTGTGTGCATTTTCATGTGTCTGTTTAAACTGTCCTTTACGGGAAACCTTTGTCCACAAAGATCACAACAGAATTGTTTCTGGCCCGTGTGGATTTTCATGTGTCTGTTTAAATGTCCCTTTTGGCTTAACCTCTGGCCACAAAGACCGCAACAAAATGGCTTCTGTTCGTTTTTGTTATGCAAAATGTTTACACCTGACTCGGGAACCCTGGTTTGAGAAGACTCCCAGTCTTTATCGGTGTCTTTAGTGTTGGACCCGGGGCCTGAGAAGTGTTTCAGCTCATGGTTAGGATTGTTCACATCATCATCATCCTCCTCACTGACTTCAGTTTCTGAAAAGTCGGAATCATCTTCATGAGTACTCATGTCTAGATTTCTTGTAGTATCTGCTTCTTCACAGAACTCTCCATCAGATGTTAATTCCATGTGGTCAGCTGAGCTGCTGGTTGGAAGATCTCGGATTTCAACTTGATGTTGATGAAGTTGCGGGAATAGAGGTTTCTCTTCATCATCCTCACTCTTCACAGAAACTGCAGTGAATGAAAAGCTGGTGGTGTCGGTCTCCTYTTCCTCCTCCTCCTCCTCCTTCACATTGAGCTGCTCTCCTCCTGGACTGGTCCACAGTTCCTCCTCTTCCTCTTTTATKTGGAGGTGTTCTGGGTCCAGCTGGTCCACATCCGGCTTCTGTTGTTCAGGAGCTTCTTCTTTAATCAGCGCCAACTCCTGAGGATATGCAGGAACCACTGCGATACGGGACAGGTGGAGGAATGGAGCAAGACATTAAAAAGAACAGTAGCTTCATAATTACACATACATTACTTGTTTTCCTGCTAAGCCTTTTTTATTTATTTATTTGTTTGTTTGTTTAGTTTTTAACCAAACAGATTCCAGGGCCAAGCAGGAGCAAGTGTCCAAGGCTAGAAGAATCTAACAAAACCTATTACATCACAGCAAAATTAAAAAATAAAATAGTTATCAATACTTATTTTCTAGAAAAGTTTCAATCATACCATAAAAAGTTCTAAATAAAAGGGCTACACAACTTATTAATTGGCCTATTTTTCTTTTTATTTAATGTTTCTGTTTGAATGCAGCCCTTCCACCTCTTGTTGTCATCCTTCAGTAGTTTGTGGGTGGGTGCCTCACCATCCACTACACCCTGCCCGGCCCAAAATATAAATATAAATATTTAATAAATAGTTCGTGGAAATGGATCTTAAATCAGCTGTTTCAGTCTGCAACCTATCTCATATTATTTCATCAGTTACCAAGCTAAGCAATAAACAGAGTTAGCAAGTTCTTCCTAAGCTAAAACCATTAGCTACCAGAAACGGCAAGAAAGAATAAGATACAAACCTATTATATGCAGGTGATGACTGGGATTAAAAACAGCTCCTAAAGTCTGGCTACCTTCATGTTTTTCTTGGTTCTGAGACACTCTGCGTTGAAAATCCATCGACATTTCTTCCTCCTCTGCATCCAGGTGCTCTGTGACCTGCTGTCTCCACATCTCTGTTAGCTTTCGTTCATCAACATTTACCTTTCAGCGTTTACCGAGCCGTGACAGCTGAATGTAACTTTGAATTAAGATAATCTGACCAGCAGTCGAGAAGAAAATGGGTTTAACGTGTAGATAGAGCATGGAGAAAACACACTGAACGCTAGAAACTGAGCAGCTTTCGATGCTAACAGGAAAGCGCTTCCGTTAGCGGCTGGCCTTCAAAATAAGAGCTCGAACAGAACATGAAAAATAACATAAGAGGGTGATATAAACTCTTTGGATCACTTATTTGTATTTGTATTTATTTGAATGTATATTTAATATTTTTAATGAAATGTCCTGAGAGACAACGGCAGCTTTCGACAAACTCTAAATTATAAAATTCAGTAATTTAAGTTAAATCTATCAGTCTTGCAAATACATAGGCACTTTAAAAACCAGAAAATGGGTAAAACCAGAAAATGGGTAAGAACAGGAGGAACAAGAAAAAAAATCAAGTTAAATGGACACACTTTTGCTTTAATCCTGTTTGAACAGTAATACAGGTTCTGGTCATAAAATTAGAATATCATGAAAAAGTAGATTTATTTCAGTAATTCCATTTAAAAAGTGAAACTTGTATATTATATTCATACATTACATACAAACTCATATATTTCAAATGTTTATTTCGTTTAATTTTGATGATTACAAATGACA